TCTGAGTATTTCAGAAACTGCAGATCTACTGGGATTTTCACGCAGAACCATCTCTTGAATTTACAGATAATGGTCCAAAAAAAGAGAAAATATCCAGTGAGTGGCAGTTCTGTGGGCGCAAATACTGCGTCGATGCCATAGGTGAGAGGAGAATGGCCAGATTGGTTCGAGCTGATAGAAAGGCAACAGTAGCTCAAATAACCACTTGTTACTATCGAGTATGAAGAAGAGCATCTCTGAATGCACAACATGTCAAACCTTGAGGCGGATGGGCTACAGCACAAGACCACACCGGGTGCCACTCCTGTCAGCTAAGAACAGAAAACTCAAGCTACAGTTCGCACAGGCTCACCAAAAATGGACAACAGAAGATTGGAAAAATGTTGCCTGGTCTGATGAGACTTCTGCTGCGACATTCGGATGATAGGGTCAGAATTTCAAGTCAAAAACATGAAAGCATGGATCCATTCTACGTTGTATCAACAGATCAGGCTAGTGTTTGTGGTGTAATGGTGTGGGGGTACTAGTAAGGTGTACCTAATAAAGTGACCACTGAGTGTAAGTATAGCTTTTACTGGTGGGTAAAAAAACTTATCAGTGAAAACTATTCTTCTTATATATATATATATATATATATATATATATATATATATATATATATATATATGGGTCAGTGACAAAACAGGTTTGGCAAGATGGAAAATTTAAAAATCTTTTATAAAGTTGATTTAAAAGCATGCGTCAGATATTTTAAAATGTACAGATTGTATTCATGTTGATTTTATGTAACTAAAAATTACATTTGTACCATTTTTTACAAACATTAAGACTGAATGTACCTGAAAATGTCAAATGGTGTAACTGCCAAAAATTGTGAAATATTAAATAATTTACTCCTCCTAGATGATATGCAAGTGTACACAGTGAAATAAATACTTCATTTTAAAATACCACAATAACATTAATTTTATTTGCATTATCTCTAAATGTACATTTTAATGAGTTTTTGCAATATTTGGCCGGACACATGCTAAAAACACTTCTGATTTCTAAATAATCTTTGACAAATTATGTAAAAAATGTTAAAAACTATTTTATTACACTAAACTGGGTGTTTTAATTTTAATTTCACATTATTTCCATGTACATGGTTATATTTTTATAAAAAATACTGGTTACACCAATTGACACAAACCAGTTACACCACTTGACAGTGTTGCTTCTACAGCCAAAGATTTTGAAATTGACAATTAAAATCAATTCAAATTAAGAATGATAGTCAACAATTTCAGCTGAAGTGATTTTAATTTCTTTTAAATGTTAACCAAAATGTCTGGCAACAAGAAATCATCATGGCGCATGAACGGTGTATCCATGTCTTATATTGTAATGACAGTTGAGGAACAATATCTGAGGGGGGTGGGATTGTCATTGACAAATTTGTTTAGAACAATGAAGCCAAGTTTCTGAACTTTCATACACCAAGTAATAACATCCTTTACATTAAATGTGTGGCCCTCATCAATAGAATATTAAAAAACTAAATAAACATGTTTAACATTTAACACCTTTTTCATAACTGTTTCTTTTCAGTTGGCTTAAGTAAAATAAAAATAAGTAGATGATATTAGATAAAAATCCACTATTTTACTTCTAAGCTTTTTAGAAACAATTTGCCAAACACTGTACGTAAAACACTAGTACATAAGAACTGCTGCTTTCTCGTTGTTGCCTTGGTGCTGGGATTAAAGGCCAATTTTTGCAAGCATACACGACTGACTGACAACAACGCATAGAAAACATTTTCATGAGTGTATCCACAACTTATCCACAACCTATTTATTTTATACAGTTGAAGTCAGAATTATGCTGAATTATTATTAGTCCCCCTGAGCTATTAGCTCCCCTGTTATTTTTTCCCCAATTTCGGTTTAGCAGAGAGATTTTTTCAACACATTTTCAACACATTTTTTCAACACATAATAGTTTTAATAACTCATTTCTAATAACTGATTTATTCTTTGCCATGATGACAGCACATAATATTAGACTAGATATTCTTCAAGACACTTCTATACAGCTTGAAGTGACATTTAAAGGCTTAACTAGGTTAATTAGGGTAACTAGGCAGGTTAGGGTAATTAGATAAGTTATTGTATAATCATGGTTTGTTCTGTAGACTATCGGAGGTAAAAAAGCTAAAAAGGGCTAATAATTTTTACCTTAAAATGGCTTTTAAAAACTACTTTTATTCTAGCCGAAATAAAACAAATAAGAGTTTCTCCAGAAGAAAAAATATTATCAGACATACTGTAAAAAAAAATGATTTCAACTGTAAATAAATTCATTTGTTTAGCAACTTCTGACTTGTTCTTCACAACTTTTCATCAAAGTTCCTCTGAGTCACCTCCAGTTGTTAATAATAATAGTACAACAGCGAGCGCATCAAGTATGAACCTCCAAAACTTAAGGCTGTGCGCTCAGTCTATAGAGGCTCGTCAACCTTGTTTCATTTCCCATGTTAATTTTTTCTTTTATTTAAAAAAGAAATTCACAAGTGCTCTTTAACAGAGAGAATATTATTGTCAACACATTTCTAAACAAAATAGTTTAAATTACTAAATTCTAATAACTGATTTCTTTCGTAGTCTTTGCCATGATGACAGCACATAATATTTGACTAGATAATTTGTAAGACATAAGTATTCAGCCTAAAGTGACATTTAAAAATTTAATTAGGTTAATAAGGCAAGTAAAATTTATTGGCCAAGTCATTGAGTAACTGTGGTTTGTTCTGTATTTAAGAAGGCTAACAATATTGACCTTAAAATCTATTTAAACATTTTAAAAACTGCTTTTAATTTCTATCCAATCTAAAAGAAATAAGACTTTCTCAAGAAGAAAAAAAAATACATACAACATTTTAAAGGAGGGTGATACAGTGGCTAATGTGGTTAGCACAGTTGTCTCACAGCAAGAAGGTTGCTGGTTTGAGTCCCAGATGGACCAGGATGGCTTACTGTGTGGAGTTGACATGGGTTTCCTCTGGGAGCTCCAGTTTACCCCACAGTCCAAAGACTTGCGGTATAGGTGAATTAGAAAAACTAAATTGACTGTAGTGTATGAATGTGTGTGTGAATGAGAGAGTGTGTACATTATATTGTGTAAATATAAACATGGATTAACATAAAAAAACATTTATGTTGTGCAGTAAAATAACTTTATCCCAGGTTTACAGAGCTTTAATAGTAAGGCTTTGGATTAAGCACCTATTTCTCAAACAAAAATAAATAAATGATCTACACTATGAACACAAATAGCTTCAAATAGTAGTTCAATTTATGTCGCATTTTTGATCAGCATCATGAACTAATGATATTTGACTAAATTGACCCCCAACAGAAAGACTCCTGCAATATGAGTCAAATGGTGTAACCAGTTACACCCCTTGACATTTCAACTTAAAATGAAATTTGACAGGCATTATCATCAACATCTATGTAAGCACATGGGCTTAGTGGGAATATTTCAAATGTAACTTTTAAATATAATACTTATTTTTATAATATTGAACAATTATCAGTGCATTTCTGGGGTCTTACCATTTGACATGCATATCTAAGAATAGCTGACCATACCTTAAAAAGGTCAAAGTATCTCACATTTTAAAAACAGTTACTAACCTTTGCATGCGGCAATTAGTCTTATCAAGAGTTCTTATCTGTGATCCAATTTCCTGTCTAACTCTCTTGTGAACAATATTAACAAAATGGCTCAATAAATGGTGGTTACACCATCTTGACATTTCAGAAATTTGAGGTGACAGACAAAATTCCACAAATGAATTATAATATTTAAAACAATTGTGCTATATTTACCTTTATTTACTATTAAATATGTCTAATGTAAAATTATGCCAAACTAGGCGATACAATGTTTCATTGAGGCTTTCACATTTTTTAAACAAGGTAAATTATTTGGTACCAATTTTTTTTGGTTACACCACATTGACATTCTTACAATAATCCCCTAAAAATTATCTTAAAATGGATTAAAACCAAAAAATTAGACTTGGTCCTCAAAATAGAGAGTGTATGCAAGTTATTTGCTTATTTATTTTGAAACTGTAACCTACATGAATTTATTTAAAAGGCATGGACACAAAAAAATGAGCGTCACGTCATTGACCCATATATATATATATATATATATATATATATATATATATATATATATATATATATATATATATATATATATATATATATATATATATATATATAAATAAATTGTTTACCTAATAAATAAAGTATATGTGTAAAACAGCGGAAAAAAAAAAGATTAATCTTAACATTTCTTTTCATTAGTGCACAGCCCTAATCCAGACACTCAGTCAAGATTGTCACAAAATATCCCCAGAATGCATCTGTGAGTGATGTGCGTGACGTTCAGACAGCTGAGAAGGGGGTGATGGGATACCGCTGTGATCCTCCCTGAACACCCTGCAGAACCCAGAATAAAAACCAAGGCCCTCTGCATGCCATAGGGGATGTCAGCATAATTCTTACTTCATATGTCCGAACATCGCCTAGAGATAATTTTAGAAGCTCTTGACTACGAGCAATAAACAAGCTGTCAAAAACGCTATATTGGTGGTTGTTCACATAATAACTGTCTGTTTTGCAAGCTTAATTCCTGCATTTCTAGGAGATTGTTTTTGGTCCTGTTTCTACAGCAACTTCTTTTGACGAATTCCCTGGGGACGGTTTCACATAAAGAGGGTAAAAGCAACGTGACACAATTCATTTCGCATAATTATTCGGGAGAGAACATTCTTTCTAATGTGACAAAAATAAATGGGATGGAATGTATTTGCTGGCCATCGATGACTTCACCTTTCCTACACCTAGTGACTCACTAGTTTCCCACTGTTTAATTTAAGATGGATTAAAGCCAAAGAACAGAGCGGCGGAGGAGGAGTTGAAAAAGGAAAGAGTCACCTGTAACAGGTCATCACTGAGGACTTCTGTTTTCTCCGCTCTGTAAAAAACAACAACAAACTATTAGAAACAAAAATAATATTCTTAAAAAGACACAATGCTTTAAAATTCACATTCAAAGAGGTGAGGCTTCTTTATGTGGAGAAGAAATATACATAACTTTTTATAAGCATTTTTTATTGCTTTAATTGATGATTGTGATCCAAGTAAAAACAAACTATGATAATAATAATAATAAAATGCTATTATTATTATTATTATTATTATATATTATTATACAATTAATATCATATCATTATGAAAACATTAATATTATCTGCTGTAAATCATTAATAATCATCATCATCATCATAAACACCTTGATGATAATTAGTATTATTATTAAAAAAAGAAAGTCAACTAAAAAAGAATTACTATAACAATAATAAATTATACATATACAAATATTTAACAATAAACAAAGCAAGCAATTATTGATTTCACTACTACTTTTTTGAGTAAACTGTATAACCCGATAAGATAAGTTAACTCAAACTGCTTGAGGAAACTGATTGCGTCAAACCATTTAGGCTGTATTTAGGGAGTGCTGTAAACTTATATTCATTGAATCATATACACATATACTTTTTGGTTTGAAATTGTCAAACATTTAGTATTAGTAACTTCAACATTTTACGTTCAGTTATCAAATCTGTATGAGTTCAGTTAACTTAAACAAATTAAGTAGAAACAACTGTGTCAGGGTTTGGCCGATAGACTAGGCCATCCTCCTTTGCCAATGGCCAATAGACAACACGATGCTGAGCTGGCATCGCTGATCCTCAACCCTGCCCCCGTCGCAAACCCGCTCGCGAAAAATAGACACTTAGGCCTCGTTTACATTAATACGTCTTAGTGTTAAAATGCCATTTTAGAACGAAAATGATCCACATCTACACGTGTTTTACCTAGCATTTCTAACAGCCTTCCGTCCACTGAAAACGCACATCACGTGACCACATAAACACACAACCCTAAACTGTATAGCTACTCAAATAGTTTGAGAAAACCAACAAATGGTTTAAGTTGACTGAACTCAAATGAATAAAGTTAGTCAATTCAAATGGTTTGCCACAATCGGTTTCCTCAAACCATTTGAGTAGTGATGTGAAAATGTTTATAAAAATGTAAATTTTTATTAAATGATAGTTTTGTTTTTTCAGCATTTTGTTTCTGCTGTTTTGCAATGTTTTAGATAATTTTCTTTACAAAATGCTTATAACAGTTTTTTTTTCTATTGTATTTTAGTTAGTCATTTATTATTCATAGTTTAAATTTGTTTTTCTTCTGATCTTCTTCTGAACCACTCATCTTTTTATTTCATTCATTCATTCATTCTTTTTCCTTTGGCTTAGTCCCTTATTTATGAGGGGTCACCACAGCGGAATGAACCGCCAATTATTTCAGCATATGTTTAATGCAGCGGATGCCTTTCTAGCCACAACACAACACAGGGAAACAGCCATACACATGCATTCACACATGCACTTTATCCAATTTACCTGTACCGCATGTCACCCAGAGGAAATCCACGCCAACAAGGGGAGAAAATGCAAACTCCACATAGAAATGCTACCTGGCCGAGTCAGGACTCCAACCTGCGACCTTCTTGCTGTGAGGCAACAGTGCTAACAACAGAGCCACCGTGCCACCTGCATTTATTCTTTTTTAGAAATTGTGTCTTCACTGTTTTAATTATTTTATTTTAGCTTCTAACTAGCAGAACTACAATGTTTTAACCCATCTTATTTTTGCAGCTAACATTTATCTTATTTCTGTCAACAAAATTAATTTCAGTAAAAAACAAACAAACATGTCAAGCATTTTTTTAATGATTTTAAAATTTCTAAGGACAAGATGGTACAAACAGACAGCATTACCAGTCAATTACTTCAAACAGAACCACTCTGAGACACTGAAAACTCCAGACTATGAGCTGCTCGGGTGTAAAATTACACAGTGCTGGGTTTCACTGTGACACAAGCATTACACACATTTAATTGATCAACTAACCTACGATTTGATAATCCTGCTAACCCATACCAACATTTCAGTTTATTTTGATTAACATTGCAGCCATATTAGCTCTACAAAATAATTTTTCTAAATGAATCTACAGACACCGTTCAAGTCTAGGAGTTGCAAACAGCTGACACTCTGTCTAATGAAAGCAGCTGTCTGAAATGCAGTCACAGGCATTTACTTTCCCAGGGAATTTTAGCAGTCCACTGTCAGCCTTGTGAACAAATAGTTAAGGCACTATTAATAGTAAACTAATGGAGGGCTTTGACCATGGCACAGATTGTGTCCTGTCTATATCTGAGACAGAGAGAATGTGAGAGGACAACACCGGCTCAGTTCACACACACACACACACAAACATAAATATACACACACACAACACACTACTGTTTCAGACCAATGACTCAGAGACAGGTTGTATGACCTCACCTAGAAACTGTCCGCATTAGAAATCTTTATCTAGAGTGATCAATGTGATTTACTTATCCATTTGCTACTTTAAAGATTGGAATGGATCCGGTGTGTTTAAATCTTTGTCCCCCCCACATACAGCTGAAATCTGAATTATTACCCCGCTTCCCCTGTATAAAAATATTGCTTTAGGGGACTAATGATATTGACCATAAAATGGTTTTACAAATAAGACTTTCTTCAGAAGAAAGAAATATTATAGAAAATACTATGAAAATTCCATTGCTCTGTTAAACATCATTTGGGAAATATTTGAAAAAGAAAGGCAAATAATTCTGACTTCAACTGTACTGTATATGACAGAGTTGCCCAAACTAGAGCCTGTGGGCCAAAGTTGACCCTTTGTATTTTGTAAATTTTGTACACCCCTGGTATATGACATTCTTAAAGTCATCAGCATATTGGCAATAATATGAAAAAGGTAGATACCAATGTTTAATAAATACATTGAAGAAATGAGTTGCACGTGTTTAGAATAATGCAATGTTTATCTCAGAGGAAAATCATTAAATACTTGCAAAAATATGTAGAAAAAATATCAGACCTGAGTTTATTATGTAGATTTTCTATCAGTCTTATGATGTAACTACAGAAGAGTCAAGCTTTAAATAGGAATATTATAACATCTTTGATCATTTTTGAGCAAGACGCTAATAGTCTAAACTGATTTAATGATCTATGCTAAGCTTTGCTAAAAGTGTTTCCGTCAGACCCGGAGATCGGCTGAATGGATACAAAAATGGTAAAATGATGGTTTAACACTATAGGGGTGTTGTAAAATAAGCCTGTTTTTAAAAAATGCAGTGTTGCTTTAATATACAGTACAGTATTAATAAACAATTCTATATGAATACTCTACTTTTCTGCCATAAACCAGGGTTACTGTCAATGCTTCTACAGCAAAACCATTGTCAATATTGTTGATTTGCAGAATGCCTTTGAACTGGATTGTTGTTGTACAGGTTTGTCTGCATTCTGAAGCCCTGGTAGACTACAGTCTGACTAATATTTTTTTTATTGAATTATATGCATATAAACTGAAACATTCTTAACTTAAATTGTTAAGGAAACATTTGTAATGTTAATGGCTATTTCAAGCATATTTGTAGTGCTTTTCACAGTAATTATTGTTCAAAATCATTGTTGTGTGGTTGAACATTATATATATTATGTAGTTAGCCTGCAGTGTAGTGCCCTTTTCAAAGACAATCTTGATGTGTATAATACATTTTCAATGAAGAGTATTTGCGTATTGCTTAAGATTTTGTGATGTCCATCAAGTCATGAAGAGTTGGCATTATCTCTTCAAGTTTTCATAGGGCTCAAAGACTACCTTTATTAGGCCTCAAAGGATTTCAGCTTCACCCATTGAAAACCCCTTTCGGGCACAACTTATTTAGCAGACAATTTTTTTCAAAGCGATTTAAAAATGAGGAAAGCATCAAGAAACCCATAATAAACAGGCAAAACTCATTAAAAAGTGCCACTAAAAGTTTCTGACATAGTTAGAAATATGCAAACTAGAGTTGAGATGGATTAAGGAAAGAGTGAGAAGCATATTATTATTCTTCAAGATGTAGTTAACACCACAGAGAAAAAGTTTTAGTTGTCTATGTGTACTGAAGCTATTCTGAAGTGTGCATAAAAAACTGTAGAGAACCGGTAGAAATTTATGATCTGAAAGGATTTATGGTCCTGCGAGTTCACATCAACATAAAAACTAGCGTACAGTAGTGTGTGGCTATTAAACCTTGCTGAAATGTTTCCTCTGTGAGAGGAGGTGGGTCTGTTTCTGTGTCTGTCTCAACCTTCTGTTGTGGCAACCGTAACATTGGAAAGCAGTTGAGGATGTTGTCTGTTACACAACAGTGTAAGCTTGTCCCTCGCAGTGTAAAATATTAGTTTCAGTCTACACTCACTAAATCGGAATTGTTTGCCAAGAGGAAGATATTAATGAAGATATTGTTTTACAGAGAATACTTTATTTTGACAATGTTCTGAAAGTCATTTGTGCTAACTATGCTAATTTTAGCCTGATAGCACTGAAAACCCCACTCTGCAAATTACCATTTAAAGACAACATCACTGCAACACATTGCATAACATTCATTCAATTATTTTCTTTTCAGCTGAGTCCCTTTATTAATCAGGGGTCGCCACAGCGGAATGAACCGCCAACTTATCCAGTACATGTTTTACGCAGCCAATGCCCTTCCAGTTGCAACCCATCATGGGAAACACCTATACACTCTAATTAACACACATACACTACGGACAATGTAGCTTACCCAATTCACCTATAGCGCGTGTGTTTGGACTTGTGAGGGAAACTGGAGCACCCGGAGGAAACCCATGCAAACACGGAGAGAACATGCAAACTGTACACAGAATGCCAACTGACCCAGCAGAGGCTTGAACCAGCAACCTTCTTGTTGTGTGGCGACAGCACTACCCACTGCACCACCATGCCACACCACATAAGAACTTAAAAGAAGATGGTAGGTTATT